AGAAGAAACAAACAAGTCAATCACTATACCAAAGAATATAACTGATAAAGAATAACTAGCCTATTGGATGCTTGTACGGTATATATTACCAGTCCTAAGGGGTTGCGCAGGTTCTGGACTTTATGGATTCCTTCCATGGCCTTCTCCAGCTGTCCTCCTCCTAAACCACCTCCTCTGTTGGCGTATTCTTCTTGCACATAATCTATAGCTAGCTCCCGATAGTGATTGGATGGCAACTAAACACACACGTTTTTTTCTGGCTAGTTATATTTCTCTGCCATGTACTAATCTTTTATTTTATTACATAGATACAGTGAGGGAAATGTATCAAATCTGGAGCAGCCGTGCATGGCAACCAATCAGCATCTCTTATTTTCAAACCTTACATTAAAAAACTTTATTATACAGGATTTATATAGCGCCAACAGTTTGTGCAGCGCTTTACAATATAAGGAAGACATTACAATCACAATACAATTCAAGACAAGATGGTAAGAAGGGCCCTGCCCATGAGTGCTTGATCTAAAAGACTAGAGAGAAGCTGATTGGTTGCATTGCACCGCTGCTCCAGATTTTGCCTGCTTCAGTTTTGATAAATTCCCCGTGTGCGCGCGCATGTACAGTGGTACCTCGGTTCATGAAAGCTTCGGTTCGCGAACAGGAAGTGCAGCAAAATTTTGCTTCCGTTCGCGAACTCCGCATCGGGTGACTAACACAACCGCAGCCATCTTCCCCACTCTTGACACTGGTCGTGGCTTCCTCCTAGTCGAGATTGCGGTTTGATTCGGTTTGCAACCAGAATCGTGGAACTAATTTAAGTTAGTGACCCGAGGTATCACTATATGTATGTATTTTAGGGATGCACCGATACTGAGGTATTTGGGCAAGTACTCATACTGGCTGAAATGCTCCCGATTTTAGTTATCCCGGTAACAGGAAGCCAGACGGTGTGTCATTACACACCGCCCAGCTTCCAGATCGGCCTGGAAGCCGGCTCTATTCTCCATAAGTTCCAAGTGAGCATGGAGCCGGCTTCCCGGCTAATCAGGAATCCGGGTGGTGAGTCATTAAACGCCGCCCGGCTTCCTTTTAGTGGGACTTTGGGTATCGGTATTCCAATACCAAAATACTGGTATCTGTGTGTGTGTGTGTGTGTGTGTGTGTGTGTGTGTGTGTGTGTGTGTGTGTACAGTAAATTCCTGTTATCCAGTATTCAATTAAACAGAACTCTCATCTAACCAGTAAAAAAACACTTAAGACCAAATAGACACGCGATCGTTTCCAGGATAATGCTGGGCACACGCCTTACAACCATCGCAAGACTTTTGTCTTGCGATGGTTGTAAGGTACTTAAAAAAACGTAGGATCTGTCTATCTTGGACAGGCAGATCGTACATGCGGGTTTCCGATGACCGCAATGCCGAACGGGTTGTGTGCGCTCGCACACACCGGCCCGTCCGGCTTTTATCTTACGAACATGCTACACACCCGCCGAACATCGTACGATGCTCGGCGGGTTTTCGAACATGTTCATAAGTTAAAAGTCGTGCGACCTTACAGTAGTAGAGAGTAGAAAGGCATCATGGCACACTCACAAGTTTGCATATAAAAAAACTTGTCTCACCCCTAAGGTCAAGTGGTGAGAAACCTGCACCCAATTTGAAATCTTCTGCCCCCATGTGCTCCAAGATGGAGACTCTCATAGTTTAGAGTTAGGACCGCACTATAAGAGGTGCCTTGGCGCGGCAGTGCGGCTTACACATTTTCTGCAGAAGACGTGTATCCAAACCTCTGTTATTGACCTTAGTGGTGAGACAAGTTTTTTTATATGCAAACTTGTGAGTGTGCCATGATACCTTTCTACTGTTTTAAGCCCATTTCGTGTGCACCTTGCTGTATAGTTGGTGACAAATTGTTGAGTGCGTTTGTCATTTGTTTTGCTTACAGTAGTAGAGGTCGCACGGCTTCCACACACCTTACGATAATCGTACGATCGCGGGATTTCCCACGATTATCGTACGCTGTGTGGGGACCTTAATACATGCTGCAGATCAGCAAAACAGGGAGTACACAGGATTTTTTTTTTTTTTTCTGGTTATACTGTACAGGAGTTCTGGTTGAATACCGGATACCTGAGGTGTGTGTGTGTGTGTGTGTTCTATCTATCTCTGAGCATATCTCACCACTTATTATATATATATTTTTTAAGAAAAGGTGTTATGATGTGTTGTATGAGATATTCAATAGTTCAAAATAATACTTAAAAGTTAGAGTTGTAAGGCTGATCAAAATTGTCAGTGTAGGTTGTGCAAAATGCATTTATGTTAATGTTGTACTGATTAATAGGCAACACTATTATAAATAAAATAATCAAAAATGTAATGTAAGCCCTGGGGGAAAAACCTGATCTGAGATCTGTAAATATGTTTTTAGTTTAGAGCTCTTGAAAATCAACATAACCCTTTTTATTCAGCTATCAGGATCATTTAAAGTGAAAGTTATTGTAATCAAAATTTAAATGATCTAAAAACGTCATGTTAATGTGAATTAAGTATTTTTTTGTCGCGAAACTCAGGCATTTGAAATACATAAATAAACTTAGTTCTATATGTCATCGTTGAAACCGATAAAATTGACATCTATGATACAGCTTTGATGCAAAGTTGTTCCTTGATATCTTGAACTGAATCAGCACGTGTCTGTTTGTTACGCAAATGAGGACCATCAAAGGGTTCTTGGGGCTGGACACTGATGAATGATCTGCCAGGACGGTCATGTCCTGGGGCAAGCCCGACCCCCTGCTGGTATTTACTGCCCACACCTGTGTCAGCAAGGAATCATATATGCTGGGATGGGGGCAGGGGCATATGATGGAACCTTCTTCCTGTGTGATCATCTACACCAGGGATAGCCAAACTTCGGCCCTCCAGCTGTGGTGGAACTACAAATACCATGAGGCACTGCAAGATTATCACGGCCACAGACATGACTCCCGGAGAGAGATGCATCACGGGATTTGTAGTTTAACCACAGCTTGAGGGCCGGAGTTTGGCTACCCCTGATCTACACTAACCTAGCTCACCAGCAAGAACAATGGTAACCTTGGTGACCTTTTGGACAAGACAAGTCTTTCTGAACTCTACAATCAAGAATGTGATTCTTTGAGACATCCTGGAGAGGAGTGTTCTGAGAACAGAGAAAAACCCAGGGCATGTGTGAATGAGTTAGAGAGAATGGTGTAGCTTGCTGTAGTATCCGTAACCTCAATTCCCATCCCTCCAAATACTCACTCATATTCCCTTCATTGTAATTAGAATGTATGTATATCCCTATTTGTAAATAAACCCAACACTTATTTAAGATTCAGTTCAGTAATTTAAGGCACCCCCAAATCAGAGCACATTCTACACTCATACAGAACATAATGTTTTTGGTTTTTTTTTTGTTAATAGGATGCAATTGTAACCAAAGTGATGCATATATAAACGCATAAAAGTTAAATTTTTTTTAATTTTTTATTTTCTCACCATAAGTTGATGTAGAACTTGAGGCCAACCACAGTTCAATTGAAACATATATAGCCTGTAGATGATGTCTGTATAGACTGTTCAAATTTTGCTTCAATAATAATAATAAATATTATAGTCTCTTTTTTTACTTTTGCAATCGTCTGCTGCCGCTCTTTTGAAAAGCTCGTTTGCAAGGGCGCCCTGTCCCTCTGTGCGGTTGGCATTGCTTCTCTGCCTTTTGGCTAAGATCAAATGTAGTGTCTGTTCTTGGTCTGGCCGGAGGGTTCGAGGGCGGCAGAGGCCCGTGGTGCTGTGCCCCCTGGGGGTGGCGTCCTAGGGGTGCCAGAGAATCACTATGGGTGTTGGACCCCAACAATAGTTTACTGACACAAGGTAAATTATGGACTAGCCATAAGGCCTCTTGGACAGGCCTTATGGCTAGTCCAGGGCAATATTTTTGCACTCCGGCCCTTGAAGCCTGTCAGACTAGTGCACTGGCACTTTAGATTATTGCACAATTGGCACGTTTTTGCTTGAAAAATGTGACCCAGAGAGACTGAAAGTGCAGGTACCTTAGGGGCCTATTCCCTATGTTGGGGAGGAGATTCTGTGGCCTTTTATATAGGGTTCTCTGTCTCCTTCCACCTGGGGGGTCTTTCTTCGGGAGAGACCCACAACCTAGTACTTGTAGGACCTATTTCGGCAGGTGCCTAAAGGACCGGGGTCCGCTGCCCTTCGGGTAGGTGGAACAAAGTATTCCTTGCCCCGGTCAGGAGCCTTGCGCCCCAGGGGGATGGGAAATAGTGGCCCTTTCCTTATTGAAGGATCAAGCACCCACTGTGCACTATTTTAAGTGTGTTGTGATTTCACGATTCACTTTTTTTTTTGTTTACAGGGTATTGTTTTCGAAGCACGCTCCACGGGCTTTAAAAAAAAGAGAAAAATCTGTAATCAGTTTAATATCTGATACGTCCCCTATGTGGGGACCATATAATTGATTTTTAGAACAGGGAGATGGAAGAAGAGCTTGCTCTGTCCACCCCACGCATCGACCTGGTATTGCAGTGTGGTCGGGGCCCGGGAGGGAGAAGAAAGAGAGAAAAAGAGAGAGAGGGGCCTGGGAGGGAGAAGAAAGAGAGAAAAAGAGAGAGAGAAGTCTGCAGTAGTAGTGCTCCTCATGCATGCTTGCAGCTGAACAGGCCTAAGAGTCCCACTGACAAGGTATTTGTTGTCTCTGCATATCTGGTCCGCGAGAGAACGCATTGTGCACACTCTGTCTCCCTCTTGTGGCCCTTCAGACAGAGGCGGGGCTATGCTAATCTAACCTCGTTAGGTCTAGACGACGGGCACCTGGCAAAGTTATTTGGGCGTGGCCTGTCTCAGCGAGCAGGCATAGGCGGCTGTGCTCGTCCCCGTTCGGGCCTTGGCAATTTAGGGTTATCGCTTCTCGGCCTTTTGGCTAAGATCAAGTGTAAAAAAAATCTTCTGTTCTGTGGCAGACAGCAAGGGAAGATGGCAAAACATCATCCGGATTTGATTTTCTGCAGGAAACAAGCTGGAGTCGCCATAGGAAGATTGTGTGAGAAATGTGACGGGAAGTGTGTGATTTGTGATTCCTATGTACGTCCCTGTACACTAGTGCGCATCTGCGATGAGTGTAACTATGGATCTTACCAAGGACGTTGTGTGATCTGTGGTGGCCCCGGAGTATCAGATGCTTATTACTGCAAAGAGTGCACCATTCAAGAGAAAGATAGGGATGGTTGTCCCAAAATTGTCAATTTGGGCAGTTCCAAAACAGATCTTTTCTATGAAAGGAAGAAGTACGGCTTTAAGAAGAGATAGTGAAAAGGCGGAATCTCTTTCACGGTAGCAGTTTTATATGTTTTGCTGGAACTGTTCATATTTTATGTATTGAATGGAATCAATAAAATGTTTTTACAAAATAAAAAAATAAAAAATCTTATCAGTTTAATATCTGATACGTCCCCTATCTGGGGACCATATATTAAATGGATTTACCTTTCACAATAGCAGTTTATTATGTTTTGCTGGAACTGTTCATATTTTATGTATTGAATGGAATCAATAAAATGTTCTTACAAAATGAAAAAATAAAAAAAATCTATCAGTTTAATATCTGATACGTCCCCTATCTGGGGACCATATATTAAATGGATTTTTAGAACAGGGAGATGGAAGAAGAGCTTGCTCTGTCCACTCCACGCATCGACCTGGTATTGCAGTATCTCCAGGACCGGTGCACCCCTCTCTTATCCAGTTTTCCAAAATCAGAAGAATTCAACAATTCCAACTACTTCAGCAACAACACAAATGCCCAGGCTGCCTTCTCTTCTCTTGCACTCGGCCGAGGAGCAAAGTCAAGCCTTTTTGGATTGGGGACACAATGCTCGTCTGTCCATGTAGCTCGGATTTGTATGTTCTTAATAAAGTTCACTCTTGCTCTGTGGTGTTTGTGCATGTTTGTGCTTTTTCTGGGTGCCCCACGACATCGGTGTCCCTATGTGCCGACCTGTGGTCGGGGCCCGGGAGGAAGGGAGAAGAAAGAAAAGGAAAGAGAGAGAAGTCTGCAGTAGTAGTCCTCCTACTTGCAGCTGAACAGGCCTAAGAGTCCAACTGACGAGGTATTTGTTGTCTTTGCATATCTGGTCCGCGAGAGAACGCATACCGCAGACTCTGTCATCCTCTTGTGGCCCTTCAGACCGAGGCGGGGCCATGCTAATCTAACCTCGTTAGGTGTAGACGATGGGCACCTGGCATGATGGGAGAAGGACACGGGCACAGTGCGAGAGGGGGCCCAGGGTTGGCATTTGCAGGAGCAGTGCTGCCTGTTAAGTTGGGAGCAAGCTCTTCTTCCATCTCCCTGTTCTAAAAATCCATTCAATATATGGCCCCCAGATAGTGGACGTATCGGATATTAAAAGTGATAAACAGATTTTTTTTTAAGCCTGTGGAGCGTGTTTCGAAAACGAATCCCCTGTGAACAAAAAAAGTGAATCGTGAAATCACATGTAAAAAAGTGCACAGTGTGTGCTTGGTCCTTCGAAAAGGGGCAACAATTTCCCGACCCCCCGGGGCGCAAGGGACCTGACAGGGGCTAGGAATACTTTGGTCCACCTACCCGAAGGCCGGCGAACCCCTATCCTAGGGGAACCTGCCGAAACAGGTCCCACAAGTACTAGGTTGGGGGCTTTCCCAAAGGGAGACCCCCCAGGTAAAAGACAGAGAACCCTATATAAGGGCACATAATCTCCTCCCCAACATCGGGAAAAGGCCCCGAAGGTACCCGCACCCTCAGTCTCTGTGGGTCAATTTCAATCAAAAAAGCCAATCGTGCATAAAGTGCAATAAATAATCTAATGTGCCAGCGCACCACGCTGACAGGCCTTAAGGGCTGGATTGCAAAAGAGGTCCTAGAGGCATTGTGCAAAAACTGCTGGAGTGCCGTGACCTTTTGTCAGTGATTGGGGTCCCACACCCAAAGTGATTCTCTGGCCCTCCCGGGATGCCACCCCCAGGGGGCACACCACCACGGGCTCTGCCGCCCCCCAGCCAGACCAAGCAAGCAGCCGTTCCCATCAGAAGGTAGCACCTTCAGAGGTCCCTCCCCACTGGGGTCAACCCGCTACCTACGGGCCTGACGCATCCAGCAGGGACTGAACACCTTCCGGGAACCAACAATTACACCGGAGAATTCTAAGACACCTCCACCTCTCCATAAGCAACAGTGTCCTTTCTCCTCCGGCAACTGATATTTTTCAATCAAAAATCTGTTCTTATTAATGTAATAAAATATACAAACACAAGCTATACAATCGGGGTACATTCTACCTTGTACCCTGTACTCGATGGTGAGTTCTCTGGGGCCCCGGAGTCATAGTTATGACTAGTGTAGCGCTCACCCCCGAATGATCGGGTCTTCTATAGCCTGTCTAGGGATTTCTAAAACACATGACTGCCCTAATAGCACCTACCACCTCCAGTGGTTACCGACAAATTGAAGTACAGACAATAGCTCCCAGATGATTCTCTTTTATTTATGAAACTTTAAGGAGAGAGGGAGAGGGTCAGACACATCCAGGATGAGGTAGACTCCTTTGACTTGAAATAGAGCATAGTAACTGATAGACATGTGCGATTCGTTTCGAATCGAAATTCGTACGAATTTCCTGAAATTCGGAAGCATCCGAAATCCGAATTGCAGTTTCCGAATTATATACGAAATTCCGTTAACGAATTTCGGATCCGAATGTCGTTGAAACGGGAACTAATATTACCCCTGTAAATGAGGTTTAACAACATGGCAAGATTTTTTTTTTAATACGAAATTCCGCTGCTGCTGAGGGTTGCATTACAATACAGGCAGGAAATACGAAATTCCGTTTATTTTCGTTCGGTTACGAACATTCGTTATGATGAAGTTAAAAAGCAAAAATACCTTTTTAATATATTGGAGTTGATGGTAGTTTTTTTTTATACGAAATTCGGATCTGAAAACCGTTAACGGAATTTCGTATTTCGGATAAAAAAACCAAATACCATCGACTCCAATATTAACAAAGGTATTTTTGCTTTTTAACTTCATCATAACAAATGTTCGTAAAGTTACTAAAATGTGAAGAAACTAACGAAAATTCGTATTTCGTACGAATCCGAATTGAGTTTCGGACACGAATTACGAAATAACGGTTATAACGGAACACATTTTTTGACGGCGCAAAAGTCTAGTAACTGATGCCATCACAGACTTGGACCTTTTAAGTCATACTGTGTGGAGAACTTCTGGCAAGCAGTACTTTCAAGGTTCTCATCCATGTCCAGCTCCAGCATGAGTGGCTGACCACTGGGCCTGCAGGCTCAGGCCCCAGTGTCAGTTCCAGGCTAGTCCCCAGGCTTAGGCCTAGCCAATTCTGTCTCAGCAGCCACCTGTCCCTCCCCCAGGAGGAGCCTGGGGAGGGACGAGACTTGCATCAGCCACACTGAGCATTTATCTCCTCTCCCAGCATGCATCACTGCTACTGTCCTACAGTGATTGGCTGGGAGACATAAATGCCCATTGCAATCCTCATTGGCTGCTCTGCTCTGTGTGGTGCCACACCAGGCAACAGGCAGATACAGCTTCACAGATTGCTCTGTATTAGTTGAATTGAACATAGCTTACAGATATATCTTATCACTCCTATTAGCAGGGTGCTACAATAGTATTTGAGGTTGAAAAAAGACACTGGTCCATCAAGTCCAACCTATAGAGTGTATGCATGTGAAGCTACATGTGTGAGTGTGGATGAGTCCATGTGCCATCTTCTTCATAAGTGTACCTGTACCACTATATGTTGCAGTCTGAGGAAATCGTCCAAGTGATTTTTGAATGATTTGACACTCTTAGCCAAGATCACTGCTTGAGGCAGCGAGTTCCATACCCTGAGCGCTCTTACTGTGAAGAAGCTCCTACGCCCCTTGTGCTTTTTTCCACTAATTTTAGATGGTGGCCTCTAGTCTTTGTTATGGAGGTTACTGTAAAGAGTTTATTAGTGATGTTGCTATCACCATTGAACAGCTTGTACAAGAAAATCATATCTCCCCTTAATCTCCTCCTCACTTCCAGAGTAAACATAATTTAGATTTAGTAACCTTGTCTCGTAGCTTTGGTGCTCCATCCCCTCAACTAATTTGGTTTCCCTTCTCTGGACTCTCTCCAGTTCAAGGACATCCTTCCTGTAGACTGGTGACCAAAACTGGACCGCATACTTCAGGTGAGGCCGAACCAGCGATCTATAAAGTGGCAAAATTATAGATGTGTCTCTGCAGTACATTCCCTTTTTAATACAAGACAGAACTCTGCTCGCTTTGTTTACTGCGACCTGGCATTGCAATCTATTATTCAGCTTGTGGTCTACAATGACCACCAGATCTTTTTCCATTTGTGACTTCCTTAGTGGAGTTCTCCATTAGTGTGTAATCCGCTTGCCTATTGTCTTCTAAAGTGCATCACTTTACATTTATCAACATTGAACCTCATTTGCCATATATTTGCCCGCTCCCCAACTTTATCCAGTCCTCCTGTAGTGTTAAAACGTCTAAGTCCGTGTCTATTACCCTCCCAATTTTGGTGTCATCAGCAAACACTGAAATATTGCTATTCACTCCCTCTCCGATATCATTAATAAACAGGTTGAATAGCATAGGACCTAGCACAGAGCCCTGAGGCACCCCGCTCATGACCCTAGACCAGAGTGGATTCTTATCTATATTAAACCTGCCTTTTTCCTGTGTATACTAAGGGAAAAAAAGGTATTCAACACCTCGGCCCGCTCCCTGTGATTAGATTCCCGTTTCCGTCCTTTATTGCGCCTATCTGCTCCTTTCTTACCTTTTTTACTGTTTATGTTTTGGAAGACTTTTTGGGGTTTTCTCTTACTGGCTTTGGCAATATGTTTTTCGCACTCTATTTTAGCTGCCTGAATTTCATGTTTACATCTTTTATTACATTCTTTGTATTTCTGGAAAGCTAATGCCGTCCCCTCCGTCTTATATTTTCTAAATGCTTCTTTCTTGTCCTTGATGTGTTGTTGCTTTACGGTTCTATCTAGCCATACCTTGATCTTTTAATTTTATTACCCAATGGTAATATAAAAGGGGAGTGTGTCCGGAGTGGAGTTTCCTGAAAAAGAAAGAGTTACACTTCTCACCTTTCTCAAGGTTCTCCATCTAGGAACGGAAGACATTTTTGCCTGGATTCCTTCTCGAAGTGCGCTTTCATGCTCTTCTTGGTCTCCTCCAGGTCCTGCCTAACGTCCCAGCCGCAGTGTTGAAGGTCCTGCAGGGACTGCAACTGACGCTGCAGTCTCCCGAGTTCCCTCCACCTGGCACACGCTGGCGACCACTTGCCTGAAAGAAGCTGCGCAGCTTGACTTT